TTATCAGTTTTGCACACTACCCTTTGGACTTGCTTCAGCTCCATATGCTTTTTGTTGGGTGGTTTGAGCTTTTGCTCTTAGTGCAATTCCATTATTATATGGATGTCTGGCTGCTGTTTGCTCATTCCAAACAGGAGTCTGCCCATCATACTCCTCAGCTGTTCTGGAAGGTGGCTTGAGTGGGCTGGTTAATCAAATTGGAGAAGTCTTTCCTTCAATCTATCCAATATCTGATCCGTTTGGGTGTTTTTTTCAACACCCATCTCAATCAGGCCTAACCTTTTCTTCTTCAACTTCATTTGATGGAGCTTTCAGTTCACCACGTTCTTACTGCTCCCACTATTACAACTCACAAGGTTCTATCGCTTTTGGGGATGTGATCTTTCATTACTGCACTCATCCCCTTAGGTCATGCTTGTATGTGAGCTCTTCAGTGGGCTCTTCATGACCAGTGGAATCTTGCATAGGATCTTTTGCAGGCTCTTATTACCCTTCCTCCTGCCATAGTCAACAATCTGCATTGATGGATGGACAGGACTCACACATCAGCCAAAAAGTACTTATATTTTTATCCTCCCATTCAACTTCTTCACCAGATGATTTTGATCATCCATATCACTCCTTGTCTAGTCCTTCTGATTGTTCCTTACTGGCTGGCTCAGCCATGGTTTCTTCAACTTATCTAGCTACAACTTACCCCTCTGCTACCTCTTCCTCTGTCTTCTTCCCTTGGTCATCTGTGCTTCATCCCGCCCTTCCTGTCCTCCATCTTTATGCTTGGTTTTTTTTTCAGTCCTTGATGAGGAACTCAGGCTTGTCCCAACATGTAGCTTTGTTCCTAGCCTGTTCCATTTGCCCTTCTTCCATGGAAATTTATCATAAATGGAACATTTTCTGCCATTGGTCTCTGGGCCTGGGGTTTTCAGCTGGTCAGCCCACTGTTCCTTATATTGCTGAGTTTCTTATTTGATTTTCCGGTTATCGAGCGGCTTTGTCCCACACCTTTCATTTTTCCTCATATCATTGAGTATTTACCTCTCCTACACTCTCCCTGTTGATACGTTCCTTCTGGATTCCTTCTTCTTTGTGAGAGATTGCTCTTCCGAACTGGGATGTTAACAGGGTCATTGCCTCACTTTGCCTTTTTTCGAACCACTTTCCCTATGTTCCTTGTTTCACCTCTTCCTTTCTTCCTTAAGACTTATTTCCTTTTCCTCTTAACCTGTAGACATCAGCAGTCTGATTTATTTGCCATCAATGTTTCATGTACTCTTTATCATCCTACATATCTTTTCCTTTATCCAGATTGTTCTTTCCTCCCCAAAACCTGAGTGCCTAGGGAGGGTAACTGATTTCCCACCTTTATCCTCAGCTTATTCTGGATAGACTTCTATATCCTATATGTGCTCTTCAATCTTATATTACCCACATGGCTTCCATCTGTGGTGCTAGTTCGTGCTTCTTTATCCCTTGGCAATCATCCTCTATTTTGTGATCTTTTTCCTTCTACCCTCACCAGTTGGGTTCAGCTTATGAATCGATTGACTGATTCCTCTTTCATCATCCTCCCGTATTTTGTTCCAGGTGTCTTCTCATCAAATTCAATGCCTTGTCTTTTCTCTGGCACCTCTTTTTCATCCTCTGCTGGATGAACTTCTACAATCGGGCATGTGGACTACTACTAATACATTCATTTTTCACTATTTGCATAGGATCACAGTTTCTTCCTCTTCGGGCTATCATCTTCTGCCTGTAGCCATTCTTCGTACTTCCGTGTGAATTTGATTGGGTAAGTTATTTTTTATTCTTCATTAATTTTTTTTCAGGGACCTTATTTCCCATTTCATGGTAATTACCCATTGTTTGGAACCCACTCTGTGGCGAGTGGTGCCTGACCAGGTATTCTTTAACCTCTAAAATCTGCACTGTTCAGCCATTTCAATATGCTTATTATATTCCATGGCCACTTAATGCCCACTGTTGAGATGGGGTGTTCCACAAAATTGCTTGAAGGTTATCTTTGCGATGTATTTGCTTCATAAATATGAGTAGGGCGGTGGTGTTCTGCTGGTGTAGATGACATGATATCCTCCACTATAAAGCATACAAAAGCAAAAGGAGTGAGATGTCAAACTGCAGTTCACCCCTTAGATTGGGATCCTTCATCCTACCCTCATGTGGATGTTGATTTCCAGTGACCAGATTGTGGATTTAAAGTAGAACCAATCACCATAAGTTCTCACACATGAATTATAGATATATATCTTCCTCCCTCAATTATATTCCATCTGTGTCGTGGGTCACGATGGAGGTACTTGGGATTGTTATGATTCTTTCCCTTCAGTTCTCTCTCGATGTATTTTATTCCGAGAATCTTATTGTGCATGAGGTTGGTTCCGGTCAGTTTCACTGTTGAGGAAGTTGATTTCTCTATCGTAGACATTTTTTCGATACCATATGTCAGGTTCGCAGATCGATATATCGTTTTCTATTCTTAACATGTGCCTTGTTCTGGAGTCAGGGGGTTTTGAGATCCCCTCCAGTCTCTTAAACTTGAGGTGAAGATGGTATGATCCTCATCCTACCGCCACATAGATGTTGGTTCCCAGCTGCATGGATTTTGGATGTAATTGACTTGCTGAGTGCCACTCTAGCCACTCTACACCTGGGGGAACTTCTATTGCTCCTGTGTTTTTCCACTCATATATGCTACACCTTTCTCCGATGGGTGAAGAATATAGGTGTTTCCTTAGGATGCTTCTTTTCTTCCCTCGCACCAGTCCCTCCACCTGTTCAACTTGGGATTCTAGCTATATATGTGAGAGGAGGTAACATACCATATTGGAAGTTATAATTTTCCTATACTGAAAATGTATTTTGGATAGGTACTTACATCCTCTCACATTCCAAACCCTTCTTCCCTATTGAAAAACCAGTGCTTCCATTTTCTGCTAAAACTCGAAATGATAGTCTGGTAGAACTGAATAGAGGGAGTTACAAGCGTAACGAGAGTGTGTGGCACTCGCATTCATGGAGGGTTGTTGCATGATAATTCGCATGAGAGACACATTGGAATGAGTCATTTCCAATGGAGGGGAGGCAGAAGGCTTGTGGCATGTGGGAAAACAATTTTTTTGCATATAGATGGCAGCACTGAATGAGAATAGCTATTTATGTAGAAGAGGTAAGTACCTATAGGAAAATTATAATATCTGTCCTGTGTAACTTTTTATCTCATTATTCCATTTCACGTATCATAATTATTGTATCATGGCCTCAAAAACAGCTTTTTGAAAATTAGGAACTAAGATTTGATTTTTCATTATCTCAATAAGTAGCAAAACATCAAACCAAATTATGCAACAAACACTCTTCCTCAAATGTTTCCCTACTTCATCTCTTGTAACCACATTGTTCTTATTGATGAATCATAATTCTAAAATAGTATCCTTTCTTGCTGTTGCTTATAACTTTGTGTGGAGAAAACCAAGCTGAATTACTCTAAGATATCTCTCTCCCTCACTACATGACTCCATACAGTCTCTGTCAGTGTGTCTAAAATAAAAGTATCCAAATATTATTGTATTAGTATGCTTATTAATGAAAGCCCTAACATCATTATACAACTTCTCATTGACATTGTCTGTTTGATTTGGTGGCTTATAAAAATTTTCCATTAAAAGAATTTCTGTCCTTGAAGCCTGTGATTGTAACCCATATAGATTAAACCTATTGGCACTACTTTTTATATCTTCAGTTTCAACAGGTGTAGCTCATCTCTTATGTAGCCACTCCACACAATTTTAGAAAGTCTATCACATTAAGAAATTTATAACCTGAAATTTCAAGATAATATTCCTCTTATCATTGTTGTCCAAATTTAACCAAGTTTCAGTTATTCTCATTATTTCAGTCTTTTGTTTCAACTTGATCCCTGAATTAATTTATTTTGTTCCTAGTACTCATAATATTTGAATAATAGCATCTAAGTGTATTCTTGAACTTACTGTGTTTATCAGAAACAAAACTGTCAACAAGCGTTATAATGTTCTTTACTTTAGCACCTGGCAAGCAGATTCTAGTCTTAGACTTTCTATGCTCCAGACTACACATAACTTTATCAGTATTGTTAATGAGACATTCCTCCCCACTATGTAAACCTTTATATTATCCTTTTTCCTCATTGCAAGCAGTTAAAGGTTTATATCTGCTAGAAATTGGTACCTGAATATTAACGGAACTTTTATCTACAGTTAAAACATTTTTTAAATGTGCACTTTTGTAAACCCAACACTCATTTTCATCCTCCCCTAAAAGTGGCTATTTCCAGTCTTGCTTCTTTGACTTCTGTTCTTAATCTTTTATTTTCCTCCTTTAATAGAACAATCTTTTGACAACCATCTCTTAACTACAAGGAAAAATCCACCTTTGTTATCTGTAATATGTTATAATAATTAAAAAAGTTACATATTTTATTAATCCTTTCCCTTTTGGGGTATACTTGGTGCATGTAAATCTATTAAAGCCCTAGCATGTTGTAAGAAACTAAATATTAAAATATTTGGAAACTTAATTCAAGAAACAAAAGACATTGATTTTTTTTTACAGTCAATATTAGAAAAAAAAAACACTGAAAAAGAAAGCAAAATGTTGTACCTGTATTTGAAGAAAAGGTACACTAAAATTTCAGATGGAATGTATAAGTTGAATTTTTGGAAGACATTTAAAATTTTGGTAAAACAAGAAGAGGCTATCATGAAGAATAAAAAACATAATAAAGAAAAGGAATATTTATTGAAGTATGGTTTCTATTCTGTATTTTATTTCTAAAGTTTACTATTATAGAATGACTTTTACATAGGTTTACAGACTCCACAAATATGTTTAGGGAATATTTCCCCCATCTTTAAAAAAACTCCTGATATCCATATTTGATAAACAAATTTAATAGAAAAAAAAAGGCTGAGTAAAAGTCATAATGTTATCTATTTATTTTAAAGTAGGTCACCACTAAGCAACAGAAGCAAAACAGGTCTCCAGAGGAAAAGATTGAAGAAGGTTTTAGAAGTTGTAAGTCAATTATTTTAAAAAACCTAATATTTTAAAACTAATGTAATTTTTAAAAGAATGACTTTTACTACCGTGAGGTTTTATTTGAATTCTAGGTATATTAATAATTAGATCCTTACAATTAAATTAATAGAAACTGCAGTAAATGTTTATATTACAAAAATAAAGAATTACTTTGATTTACAAATCTTCATTTCTAATACCTTCCCAAAATATGTTTGTAGTTTCAGTTGTACTTTTATATTGTAGTTTGAAATTAAACATTGCTTTTTGTGTGTTTAATACTATTAAAATTAAACTGGTTCAACAAAATCTCATTCTTCACTCTTATTAAGTGAAACATGAGTAATGCAGTGTATCAAAGTTTGTGAGGATAGAACAAAAAATGCTGCATGGTTATTACCAGTAAACTTTGAAACTAATCTTGGCCACAGACTCTAGTATCTTGGTTTAAAAGTATAACTTGTCTAATCTTTTTTTATTTTCCTACTTTTCTGTGTGGCAGCTGAAAGAAAAGATTTTTATATAGTGAATAGTGATAAAAGTATTTATAATATGTTTAAAAAAATCTGCATTTAATGTTAATAATCACTATGCATTTAGTTTTTTCTTTCAAAAAAAGTTAAGTAACAGGTTTTTTATTAAATAAAAATAGAAAAAGTGTCAAACTATCTACGTTGGAAAAATTCCAGACAACACTACTCGCACTGATCTCCGTAAGAGGTTCACTAAGTTTGGTCATATCAAGGAGGTGAGCGTGCACCTTAGAGACCATGGGTAAGCATAATATCTTTTGATTGACACAGTGTAATTTATACAAGGAGAATAGCAGTGTAGTGTAAAAGTAATCATTCAAAAACTATGGTCATTTCATGGCTGACTACATACAGCTGGACTCAGGAGCAGCCAATTCAACATATGATTCTGAACCCGGACATTCCAGCCCTGGATACTATCAAGTATCTGGATGGCAACGGGAGGACTAAAATACAGTCGTATACAATTTGTCAACCAATGCGACTCTGTGGAAAATTGGGTGATATATTAGGCCGAGTTTGAGGCTCAGAAGAGGACTGGAACCAAAGGTCTAACTGCTTCAGCAGATGATCTGCACTTCTTTCGTGCTTAAGCCTAATCTGCAGTGGTAATGTAGATTGAGAGAACATCCTCATGAACAAATTTATTGAGGGACTTCTTGGCAAAGCCATGAAGCACCACCTGAGTGCGAAGGACATATTAACCTTGACAAAGGCATTTTCCATAGGTATGAAGTAGTAACTTCAGGCCATTTGTTAGAGAGAGAAAAAAAGTCAGCAGTGATAAGTGTAGTCACTGTAGTGGCTATATCTTTAAAAAGCTAACTTACTCAGGTACCTCCACCACATAGAGCTAGAACTGTACTGAGTTAACCACACATACCAGCACTGTGATCCAGTCATGCTGGTTTCCATTGAATAGGCAGGTCTCTCTAAGTCATGGGTACATGCCACAGACAAGGCTGATGATGCCACCTGCTGGACATAATCTAGAATGGAAGGAGCAGAGCATCTGCTTTGTTTTTGGACTGTGGAGCACTAGCAAATGAACTGCCTTCACTTTGCTGAGCAGCAAAGATGGCACTGCTATCCATTCCATCTGATGGCTTAGCAGATACCAGCCAAGTAACAGTGCCAGTACTTTTCTGAGTAGCAAAGTAGGTAAAATTATAAGTATCATCCAATGGCCCAGCAGTTTCAGCACAACTAGCAGCAGTAGTGGGTGCTGCAGCAAATGCTACAGAAAACTAATGGAGCCCAAGTCAGGATGAGCCACCAACTTGGAGAGCACTGGAAACTGCTTGCACCAGAAGGTTTTGTGATAAACCCAACTACCACAGATGTGGGTAGAACAAGGTGATATAGGCGGCAGGCTACAAGAATAAAAGGTTGAATTCCTGCTTAACACAGAAGCAGCAGCTAGAAAACTGGTAGAACTCATGATACATCAAGCCTTCCAAATGAAACAATCACTCCATTCAGTGGATACTGACTTCATTATTGTGAATGGCAAAAGACTGCAAGAGAGGTAGGCTTCTATCTCTGTCTAGGAAATGTTGCTCAACAAATGAAGGTAGTTTTCTCAGACCTCTGATCTGGTATTGACATCCTTGGGATAAACAGTCATTGAAAATTATTTGTCAGTTTTGCCTGTGCAATGGGTGAACTGATGTTCTATGGATGAGTCATAAGATATCAGCCATATCGAGTCCAGAAATAGTGAACTGCATGAGTGTATATATAATGGAAGTAATAACAGTACCTCCACATAACACAATTGGTGTTTCATGGCTTATTTTGGACATGTTAGTGCATAGGTACCATACATGGTTATAGAAGCCACACAAGAAGTACACTGTGTCTGTTCAGAAAGCAGGCAGCATTAGCTTCTACAGTCATCTGTCTAAAAATGGATGAATTCCAGTATTGTTTTGTAATTTTGAGTGATCACCAGTCAAATGATGGAATGTTTATATATGTGGTAATTAACTCTCACAACATGGGCTTGGTTGAGTTGACCAACCATGTAACCTCTTTATACTTGATTAAAGTCTTTATAGATTTTATACTACTAACTTTAATATAGTATGTATATCTTCACAAAATGTGGCACTCTTTCAGTAAACAGTCTTTCACATACAAAAAATCATATTTTTTAGTGAAATATTTTTAATAAATTGAAAAATATTTGTCCATGAATATATCAAGTATTTGTTTTGAATAGTCCATGTGCAAAGTGATTTTCATGTTAAGATTAAAAACAGATTTTTTCATCTCAAAAATCTCAAATTTTGTTTGTGTAATCTTTAAAAATTTCTAAATACATTTCAGATGTTTGCTTTCAGTAAATATATTTTATCTGTTATTTTCTCTACCCTAACTCTATACAAG